GCCTTTTTCTCCCTCAAGCACATCAGGCTTGCTCCCTGCATAGGAGTTTTGCACTGGCTGTTCCTCTGTCCATGGCGCCTGTCATCTCATCATTTAAGTCTCCACTCAAATGTCTTTTCCTCAGAGAGATTTTTGCCTTACCACTGTCTTTAAAATTACTCTCCCACATATACAGTGTCACCTTTTTCCTATTTTCATAGCAGCACTTACAATATCTGAATTGATCTTAATTCTTTTAATGTTTGTTTCTCTATAAGTATTTACTTAATAACTGTTGCTGGATGGATGGTTGCTGACTATTGAATATTGGCTAGTATAGTGGTTAAGGATACAGGCTTTGAAATCAGATTCCTGGGTTCATATCCCAGCCCCACTCTTTAGTTGTATGAAGTTAGGCAAGTCACTTAACAATTCTCTGCCTCAGTTTCTTCATCTGTAAAATAGAAATAATACCTCCCTCATAGGATTGTTATCGGAATTAAATAGAATAATGTGTATGTCTCTTAAAACAATTCATAACACCTAAGAACGCAAACCATGTTATTTGTTTTTTTATTTATTACACTTAAGTTTTTGTAGCAACAAATATTACTATTATTATAATATTGAATGAATGGCATACCCAGAATACTCTTTGGAAAGTCATGTTTCCAGGCCCTCCTCCAGGCCACCTGGGTCAGAATATCTGAGAAAAGCGCCTATGAATCTTTAAAAAAAAAAATATATATATATATATATATTTAGGGAGTCTGATAAATATCCAACCTTGGGAACTATGACAGTAGCCTTTTAGCATCACTATTTAGGATCAACCTGGACAGTTGTGTCTGTGTGACATCATCAGTGACATCATGACACTGCAGTGACACCATGCAGTAATTTGTAATTTTGCTGAGATGTAAAGTGAGAGCAAGTCATCCTGATAAATGGACCTAGAAGACCTTTACCACTCTCCCTAACATCCCCATTACAGTGCAGCCTCATTCTCTTCCCTGTATCTCTGTTGGCAAGCAGTAAAACTTAGAGTGACTCTAATTTTATTTCTGCTTGGAAAATCATCTCAAAAAGAAAACTAACCAAGAAATATGGGGATACCAGGAAAGATTTTTTTTTTTTTAAAGTAGTGATTCTACCTTAAGCTGTCTGTAAGAAAAAAAAAAAAATCATGAAGCCGTTTTTTTGTTTTTTGTTTTTTGTTTTTGGCAGGTGCACCAACCAATGCAAAAACTGCACGTTATCAAGGAAATTACATGCTATTGCTATAAGTTCGGGTTTATAAGTTCAGCTATTAACGAAGCTTTTGTGAATCTCATGAAAGAGATTGTGTAAGACATAATTTCTGCCTTCCTAGAGCTGGAAAGACAGAACCACCGTACACAAAACAGCAAGTGAAATTAAAGCGAATAATAAATGATAGACAGCCAGTGCTGTTTATTTCAGAAAAGAAAGTGAAAATATCAGCTAGAAGGGTTCACTGAAACAGTAGTGGCTAGTGATGACAAACAACAAATCTTCTTTAGTTGCAGGACCAGCTCTGCCCCCTAATTATAAAAGCAGTAGTTCAGATTCATCAGACAGCGATGAAGACAGTAGTTCTTTGTACGAAGAAGGAAATCAAGAATCTGAAGAAGATGACACTGGTCCAACTGCAAGGTCAGTCATTTAATTAAATTAAATGATAGACCAAACTTCAGAGCTAGTATAAGTTGGCTGGAACAGATAACTAATAAGGGGATATCAAATTTCCATTTATACAGCACAGGGAGAAATCATTTTGTATGGCATTTCATCCTGAACTATACCTTTTACAAAGAAATTTATTCTAGTAGGCTGCAGCTATAGAGATACCTAGAATTTCAATATATATATTATTTTCCCCGAAAAAAGGGCCCAACCCGGCAAAAAAGACGGGGAAGAAGCAGCATCATCGCGCACCACAGCAGCCGCCGCCCAACAACAACAAACCATCCCACCACAGCAGCCTCAGAAGAAGCGACCACAACACACGCCCACAAAAAATTTGTATATTTTGTAGAGTTTTTTGGTATTTTTTGTAGAGATGGGGTTTCATCATGTTGCTCAGGCTGGTCTCAAACTCCTGGACTCAAGTGATCTGCCTGCCTCAGCCTCACAGTGCTGGGATTATAAGCATGAGCCACCACACCAGCCAATAAAATTCTTACATAAAGGATTTTTCTTAAGATGTCATTGAAGTGATGAAGTAGGCACATAAACCATAGAATTTCTTCTTAAAATTATATATGCGGTATATGTTTTCTTTAAATAAACTAATGATTTCTTCTTTTTCTTTTTTTTTTTTTTTAAGACGAAGTCTCGCTCTGTAGCCCAGACTGGAATCCGGTGGCATGATCTCGGCTCACTGTAGCCTCTGTCCTAAGTTCAAGTGATTCTCCTGTCTCAGCCTTCCAAGTAGCTGGACCTACAGGCGTGTGCCACCATACCTGGCTAATTTTTGTATTTTTTAGTAGAGACAGAGTTTCACCATGTTGGCCAGGCTGGTCTTGAACTCCTGACCCCAAGTGATCTGCCCACCTCGGCCTCCCAAGGTGCTGGGATTACAGGCGTGAGCCATCGCACCCAGCTGAATGATTTTCTTCTAATCTAGCCTTACCACTATGGGTCTATGTAAATGAGATGTCAAATCTTTGTTTATTATTGAGTAACAAGCTTTTTTTTAATTCATTTTAAATATTATCAGGTGGAAATAGCAACTTAAACCCCTTCCTTAAATGAGAATAAAAGTCACAGTCATAAACTTTTTACTTAGAAACATCTGACCAATAGACTTTGAAACTTCATTGAGGGAAATCTTTAATACCACAGAAAATATAGAATAGTGATATATTACTGCTGTAAAGAAATAACCAATCTGTATTTTAGGCCAAAAATAAATTCCAGGAAAAGACTAGTTACGAACTGTTGTCATAGGCCGGGTGCAGTGGCTCACACCTGTAATCCCAGCACTTTGGAAGGCCAACGTGCGCAGCTCACTTGAGGTCAGGAGTTTGAGACCAGCCTGGCCAACATGGTGAAACCCCGTCTCTACTAAAAAGATACAAAAATTAACTGGGTGTGGTGGCACTTGCCTGTAATCCCAGCTACCTGGGAGGCTGAGGCAGGAGAATTGCCTGGACCTAGGAGTGGGAGGTTCCAGTGAGCCAATATCACGCCACTGCACTCCAGCCTGGCCAACAGGGCAAGAGTTCCTCTCAAAAAATAAAAAAATAAAAAAAGAACTATCATAGTATCCAGTTTTTATTTGGCAAGATTAATTTATTGTTGCAGTGTTTATACAACTAGATTTAATGCTTTTATTAAAAAATTAAAGTGTGTTTTTGTGAAAAAAATTTTGATATATATGCATAAAGTTATACTACTGTGTTTTCAGAAAACAGAGGAAAAACCAGGATAAGGATGATGATGATGATGATGATGATGATGGGTTTTTTGGACCAGCCCTTCCTCCTGGATTTAAAAAGCAGGATGATTCTCCTCCAAGGTGATAATGTGTAATATTTTAGGCTAGTCTTTCTTTAAATATTTTAACTAAGGAATCTTTAATGAATTAAAGAATTGTCTGAAATTATGTTTTAACTGAAATATTTATATAACATTTTGAAATGGGTCATTCATAGGGAAAAGAAGTTGTTTCCTATAATAAAAATAATTATTTACATGTTTATGACACTTTCATAGTTTACAGAAAACTTCCACATCTGTTATTTGATATTCACAAAAGTGTTTTGTGGTAAACAGGGTGGATCATCCCTCTCCCCACTTTATAAACAGATAAGGTCACACACACATAGTAGCAGACCTGGGGCTAGAATCTTGATGTTCTGACTTTTAATTCAATTGTTTTCTTAACTGTTTATCAGTAGAAGAAACAAATCCCCATGTGCCATATTAGACAATTGAACTAACTTCTCTGAATCTCAAATTTGTCATCTGTAAGCTAGGATAACAGCATGTACTTTACAGAATTGTTTTGATGATTGAGGTTTCATAGTTGTATACCTAGACTTTGTGTGTATGTGTGTGTGTGTGTTTAATTTATATGGAGCCTGGCACAGAGTAAGTATAGAGTAAATATTTATTCCTGTCTTCTTCCCAGAATTGTAAAATTTTTAAATGCCAAATATAAGATTGCACGTTAAATTGTTTATACTTCATAATACTGTATACCAATATGCAAGAACAAGCAGAAAAGGCTGTTTATTTTATATTCAAAGTTTATAATCACATTTGGCAGCTCCTAACTTCCATTAACTTTGGTTGTTTTAGATATACAGAGATAGGCAGTCTACAGACCCCAAACTAAAAATGATTTTTACATTTTTGAGAGTAGCTAAAAAAACGACAGCAGATATGCAGAGAGCCACATATGGCTTTCAAAGCCTAAGAGTTACTATCTAGCCCTTTATAGAAAGTTTGCTGACCCCTAGGATGTAACATTTCTTTTAAGAAAACACATTACTTAAATGTATAGCAATTTTTTTTCTTGAGAGTATTATTTTGGCAATAATAAAATATATGTGTAAAATAAACAGCTGGCATTATATATTGGAGTTATAAACCTTTTATAGTATCATAACATGCCGTGGTTATATTCCTTTACTGTGTTTTAAGATTTTATATACTGGTAATTTTATTACCACCAATCCCCTGAGGCCAGAAAGTTAAGTTTTAATTGCATTTGTAGATTGCTAAAAATTGTACTCAGAAAAAATCTATGCTGTACTCATAGCTTATAAATGATACCTAATTTTATCTTTTTAACAGTGCCAAACTTCCCTGTCTTTCATAAGCAAATTGTTCTGCTCAAAGAAGTTTCGTGAATCAAGACAAGAGATTATTAAATGGTCAGGATGAGAGCCCAGAGTTTCTGACTGTCAGTACTGTTTTTTCCCCTGCCAGGATGCCTGTCTGTGGGGTTCTAATAGAACATGGTGCAACCTGGAAATTTTAGCTTAGGACTTCATTACCATCTGGATTGGTAACACTGGCACAGTGACAACTATGGAAAAAACATTGGTACAAAAGCAAGGATGAAGTATCTTAAAAGTATGAAAGAGGGTATTTTTTTATTTTTTATTTTTATCTTTTTAATTTTTTCCTTCATAAAGTAAGGCTGTCTCTTTTTAAGACCCAGTATTCAGGCAAGTCTCTCTTTTGTAGTGATGACAGTTGCCTCATTATGTGGCAATAGGGCAGCTGGAAAGAAAATGCACTTTGACATCAAGTAGACCAGGGTTTGAACTCTAGTTCAGCCACTTACTAATTTTGTTAATCTTAGATATGATTTTGCTCATCTTAAAAGTGGAGTGACTTACACTGACCAGGATTGTTTTAAGGAAACCAATGCACTGCTTGAAATGTGGTTAGCACAGTACCTTTTGCCCTTTCTATGCGTCTTAATGAACTAGCTGCATTCTTCTACAGTTCCACATCATCACTGTATTATCAAGTGAGAACAATGTATAGATTTTTAATACTGCCATGTTATATAGACCACAGATTGCTGGCATTGTCTGCACATGCTATATATGTCCTTAGAAGAACTCGATTTCTACTTTGGTAGTTCTGACCATAATTATGCCCCTAAGGTATCTTTCACTGGATAGTGAATCTCAAAACTGAAGGAAAGCCAAGGCACAAAATAAAAAAAGACCATCACAGATTTTAGTACAATTTTTTTAAAACATTGCCATTTTTATTTAATATAGTTCTTTTTAGGAAGTGTGCATATGCCAGTGTCACAAAGATTGAGAATTACTGGCTTAGTCTCTAATTATTGACTAACAAGTAGAAAATTCAAATATGAAAATTAGGTTTTTAAAAGACATCTAGCAGAAAGATACTAGGTAATACTAGTAAAAATAAAGTTAAATAAAATTCTTATTTTCAACATTTGTTGCTATCTGGCTTTATTATTTTTGTGAACTTTTATTCTGAAAACTGCTTTTTAAAGTCAGGGAGAATGATAAAAGTACATTTTATTTTTCAGGCCCATAATAGGTCCTGCGCTGCCACCTGGTTTCATTAAATCTACACAGAAAAGTGACAAGGGCAGAGATGATCCAGGACAACAGGTATCCTCATCCCATTTCAACTCTAAGGTTTGGAAAGTTTTCATTGAAAGAATGAGATGTATTGTAACAAACTCCAAACTTTATGCATGCAGTTACTACAATCGCTGGACTCAACTGTAATGTAAGACTCAGTTATATTCAGATTAATTTAAGATTGTAACATAAGTAGATGAAATAAAAAGCTGTTCACAAACCTGAGATTCTGTTAGGAAAATAACAGGGTTGATGGGGTGTTACCTATTCATGCTGCTTATCTTTGAAGGGGGGCTTTAAAGTGTTAGAAGGATGGAACATGAAGAAAAGTTTAAGAAATGATTGTGATGTGGGCTGGAGGAGAGAAGGTTGAAGAGCTTTTTAACAATGGTCTTTACCTTGAAATTTACTTTCTCCTAACCAAGCTCTAGTACCTGTGTATTAAAAAATGCACTGGTGGATAAGTAATTTTAGGAAAAGATAGAACAAATGACTTTGGAGTAAAGTATAAAGGCTGTTTCTCTCCTTAACAAGAGTTGAGATTTGTAGAGTACTTTATAATTTGTAATGCATTTTCCCTATATGTGGACCTTATTTTATCTTCTCCACAGTTTCATGAAATAGACATTATCTGCACCTTACAAATGCTAAAGACCAAAAAAATTGGGTACCTTACCCAAGATTACACAATTTTTACTGATCAAATCCATGGCACAAACTCAGTTCTTATGACTTTAAATCACTTGTTCAGTCTGTTATACTGCAGTGCCTTCCTATATATGAATTCATATATTCCAGAGACTCCTGTTTATCTCCACTAAGAATTCAACAGTTACACTGAGGTTGTTACCCAAAGGATGTATAATGCAGTGGTTAAAATTATTAATTTCAGAGTCATTTACTTATTCTTTCAACAAATGCTTGTAGAACACCTGCAGTGTGGCAGGCACATAGTCACAGAAGTGAATCTGTCAACAAATTAGTTTGTTCCTATCTTCATAAGACATCCAGGACTCAGCCACTTCTGCTCCCACCCTGGTCCAAGTGACCATCAAATTTCACCCCTTTTATTGGTCTTCATGCTTTATGTAGCCATTTCTCCTCTACTACCCCTTCTCAACACAAAAGTTGAAGGGGTCCAGATGAAACAAAGGCAGATCGAAATCAGATAATGTCACTAACACTCAAAACCGCCAAATTACTCCTCCTCTCCCTAAGTCAAAGCCAAAGTCCTTTTAGGGTCCTATACAGTCTGGCCTCCATTAGTACTCTGATTTTATCTTTTGCTTTGATGTGACCACACTGGGCTCCTTGCTGTTCCTCCTCAAATACAGCAGGCCAGCTCCTACTCCTGAGCCTTCATGCCTGCTGTCCAAGCCTACGCAAAATGGTCTTCCCCTACATATTTATGTGGCTGACCTCCTAGACCTTCAGTTTTTTGCTGGAATATTATCTTTCCAATAAATCATCTCTGGCCTCCAAATTAAAATATGCTAACCTCCTCTTCCCTTCTTTAATTTTCCCCATAGTATTTATTGCCACCAAAGAAACCATTGATTTTACTGCTTCTTTTTGTTTATTGTTGGCCTCTTTCCACTAGAATGTGGCTCCATAAGAACAGAGATTTTTTTTTTTTATCTTATCACCAGTGCCTTATATATAGTAGATATTCAGAAGTATTTGTTGAATGAACGAATGAATAAATCAAACACAGTGCCTGCCCTTATCACACCTACAAGGTAGTGGGGAATACATACATCAGTTTCTAACATTGTGAATTATTCAAAAGATGAGACAAAATATAAATGGAACCATGATGGGGGAATCTAATCTGAAAATGAGAAAGAGTCTTTTTCAGCCAGGCGCAGTGGTTCATGCCTGTAATCCCAGCACTTTGGGAAGCCAAGGCGGGTGGATTGCTTGAGCTCAGGAGTTCAAGACCACCTGGGGCGACATAGCAAAACCGCATCTCTACCAAAAATAAAAAAAATTAGCAAGGCACGGTGGCACATGCCTGTGGTGCCAGCTACCTGGGAGCTGAGGTGGAGGATGGCTTGAATCCAGGAGGTAGAGGTTGCAGTGAGCTGAGATCATGCCACTGCACTCCAGCCTGGGTGACAGAGCGAGACCCTGTCTCAAAAAGAAAAAAATAAGGTCTTTATCTGAGTGAATGTCTACTAACCTGAAGTTTGACTAATTGGAGCTAGCTCAGCAAAGAAGGCAGGGAACATTGTTCCAGAGAGAGCAGATGGCTTAAGGCAAAAGAGAGTGTGAAGAGGATGAAAGTTAGGGTTAAAGAAGTTCAATATGGTTAGAACGGAGAGTGCAGGGAGAATGGTGAGAGAGAAGGTGAGGAAAGTAGGTAAGAGCTGTTCGAAGCTTTGCATTGAGCCTAGCTTGGGTATGCTTAGCTTCATGATCAGTAACATGCAGGTCATTACACTTACCTCATAGGGTTGTTACAAGGATTAAATCAGAGTAGTAGTTGTATTAGTCCATTTTCACACTGCTAATAAAGACATGCCCAAGACTGGGTAATCTATAAAGAAAAAGGTTTAATTGACTCACAGTTTAGCATGGCTGGGGAGGCCTCAGGAAACCTACAGTCATGGCGGAAGGGGAAGCAAACATGTCCGTCTTCACGTGGCAGCACCAAGGAGAAGAATGAGTGCCCAGCGAAGGGGGAAGCCCCTGATGAAACCATCAGATCTTGTGAGAACAAACTCACTCTCATAAGAACAGGATGGGGGAAACCACCCCATGATTCAATGATCTCCACCTGGTCCCTCCCATGGCACCTGGGGATTATGGGAACTGCAATTCAAGATGAGATTTGGGTGGGGACACAGCCAAACCATCAGTAGGTATTCAACTTAAAGTAGCTCTCATTATTACCATTGTTCTTATTGCCTCCACTATGGATGCCATGAGCATAACTGAAGAATTTAGGCTAAGTGTGAGGAATCCTTTCTAACAAGGGTGTTGAAGAAAAAATTACCAGAGGAAGGACTTCCAGCCATATGGAAGACTGAGATGACATCGTCAGGCTAGGCTTTCCCCGCCATGAACACAAAGGAGTGCTAGGGGAAGAAAGAAAATAACAACCAGTTTAAAACACAGCAAAGCTCAAAAGGAAGAAAGGAAAATCCACACATACTAACAACATTGAGGGAATTCAAAGCCAGACACAGGTTTACACAGCAGGGAACCACAGTCATTTTAGAGAACCCAGTCATAAACCCCAGAGAATCTGGGAACAGGAGCCTTGGCTTCTGGCTCACTCAGCCAGAGGAGATTGAATTGAGCCCCCTACATAAAGCCTGCAGCCTCAAAGTTCTGCTGTGTCTGTAAAAGGAGGACAAGGGGACTAGAGGACTAGAGAAATGTAACCCACTGTCCCTAGGAAGGTGGCAAGGAAATTTGCTTCTGCCTAGAGCCTTGTCATACTATCTGTAACCTACTTTCAGATGGTTCTGAATAAAAGCGCGTGTGTGTCTATTTCATGGGGAGAGGGACAGAAAACAAACCAAAAAGAATGAATGTGTTAAAATGACATGTGCCACTCAGTTGGTAAATCTGAGTGAGGACATATTGGTCTTTATTGTACTCATCTTAGCACTTTTTTATAGGTTCAAAATTTTTCGAAATAAAAAATTGGGGAAAAAATTTTCAAAGGAGTAGCATAATTCAGCATTATTCGCCCTTGGAATTTTGTCCTAACCTACCTAGCTAGCAAATGCATAGTTTACATCATTTCCTAGGTGGTACACATTCTACATTCCCTAGCTTCTTTTGATGGAAGGCGAGGGTCAGGCTGAGAGAGATTACACTGTAGGTCCATGTGTGAAATACTCTCGCTCTGATTGTTTGACTTATAATTTCCCTTTAATTGAACCTTTTTCAAAAGACCTTTCTTTTTCAGTTTTGAGATTTTCGTTTCTCAAAGATAGGCTTCTCTTAGCCTCATTCCCGGCATATACCCCCAAATTAAGACATAATAATACTAATGTTTGACATTTCTTGAGCACTTACCACAAGCCAGACACTGCAACAGCAGTATAAACCTAACTTAATCCAAACAACAATCCAGGGAGGTAGTGTATCAACTGAATGCCTTCAGCTACAAATAACAGAAAATCCAACTCAAAATGGAACTTTATCTTAACCTACTTAGTTAGCAAATGGGTTAATTTACTTGGTGATATATGTTCTGTATTCTCAAAATAAGGAAAATATGTTTCATACATAATAAGAGGTCAAGAGGCAAGATGATTCCAAGCTTGATTAATTCATTTGCCTCATGATATCATCCAAGGCTCCAGTTTTTCTACCTTCCTGCTCTATAAGAGAATTAACAGTATGTTAATTCCGCCCTCATCGTACCAAGAAGCCTGCCAAAGTTCTAAGACTTAGGCTGACTGCCTTCATCATACTAAGAAGCCTGCCAAAGTTCTAAGACTTACAAGCAGCTAGCAGTTTCCAGACACAGAAGAGAAATGGTCCTTTCCCTGTGCCTCTTTTGTAGAGGAAGGAAAACCTCTACCAGTTTCCCATAGACCTTTTGTGTTTATTTCCCAAGAATTGTGTCATGTGTCCATGCCTAAACCAGTCAGCTGAGCAAGAAGAAGACGACCAAAGTGACTGCTTTGTAATATTTTGTAAACACATCCATGCAATAGTTATACTTTTTTTTGTGACTGGCCTAGAATTATCAATATTTTTCCCCAGGTGTTAGAGAAGGTCCCAGTTCCCTGAGAAGGGTGTGGCTTTAAAGAGGATAAACAAAATGCAGGGTTCTCTTGGCAATAGTTATTGGTAGAAGCTGTTATAATTCTCTTGTCAAAGACGAGAAAACCAGGGCTTAGAAAGGTTAAATAACATGCCTGAAGTCACAGGGCTAGTACAATGGCAAATGAGGCCTTCAACAAAATCAGCCCAAAGTATAAATCAATAGGGTACCTAATTTCTATCGTAATTCTGGATAAAATGTGCAACATTTTTTTATTTAAAGAAATATCCAGGACACCAAAATAATTTAATACCCATAGATAGGAATTGGGCATATTATTCTGTTTCTGATTTTCAGTTTAGTGTGTTTGGCCTAATTTTCTGTTTGCTTCTCCATCTCTGCTTTTATTTACCCCTGAACATAAGTGATACTTATTTCTAAAAATTGCAGGCATCATCCTACCAGGACATGCTGAAATTCCACCTTTATGAAACCATGTCATATTAAGATGGAAGTGAGACTATCATTAGCTTATTCCACTAATACTGTATTGGTGCCATGACTCTTAGAGTTAGTGTTTTGTTCTGTTTTCATGTCTCATAGTTTTAAAATTTCATTATAGCTTTTATATCTGAACATTTTGCATCACCAAATATTTATATCTGTAGTGGGTTATAAATATGTTTAACATAATGTCTGTAACATCAGAAAGCTTACTATTGTAGATATAAGCTAGAAACACTTAAAGCTAAATCACTAACAGTTGAGATAAAATGATAGAGGGATCGCTGTTATATACATAGAAAAAATACTGACCTTGATCTTGGAATATTTGATTCTTAGATAATAGTTTTATAAAATCAGACAAGTTGTTTATTCTAATTACACTCTAAGCCTAAGTCTCCTACCAAAAAAAAAAAAAAAAAGAAACCAGAAATAGTGCCATTTTACAGTTTTGTTACAAGGATCTAATGAGGTATATGCCAAAATCCATAGTTATTAAGAATGTGTTTGTGTGTGTGTGTGTTAGAGTAAGCCACAACACAGTATATAATTGTCTACTTATTGTACTATGTTGAGAAGAGCTCTAAGTCTACATCTATGTCCTTCAGGAAGAGAGTGAGGTCTGTCATGGACACAGGAAGAGAGGTGGGAGGTGGGAGAGAGTCTGCATGCCATGGATTTGTCATCTCTGTGCTAGGCCCTTGAGGAAGGTGAGGAAAAAGTTCCCATGGTTCAGTGTTGAGCCAGCAATACATTGTTTACTTTTTAATTTTTTATGGATAATAAGTTTCAGTTAAATGCAGGTAATTTAGAATTATTTTTTATACCTGTAGCTCTGCTCTTGGTTTAAAGATAATGTCTTGTTTTAAAAGGAAACAGACAGCAGTGAAGATGAGGATATTATTGGACCAATGCCTGCAAAAGGACCAGTTAACTATAACATAACGACAGAGTTTGAAAAAAGGGCTGAGAGAATGAAAGAAAAACTGACCAAAGGAGATGATGTAAGTTTTAGAAACACTTTAAGAAATACACTAAATAGATTAAAAATCTAAATTTTAGAAATAAACACTAAACCATTTAACTTTTAATATATTTTGTTTTTAGGTATAACATTTTTGTTTAATTTAGGAGTTAGAACCCAGAAACTCTAAAAGAAAAGTAACAAATTGGATGAAAGTCTTTGTAACGTATGTGACAAACATATGTGACAAAAACATAAGTAACTTTAAAACTTCAATTGCATGACATAGTTGCTTGTACATACGTATGTACTCATCTTATACACGATACATACTTTCCATGCTACATTTTTTTTTCTGTTAAAGGATTCATCTAAACCCATCGTAAGAGAGTCATGGATGACTGAACTTCCTCCAGAAATGAAAGACTTTGGTCTTGGGCCAAGGACTTTTAAGAGAAGAGCTGATGACACATCTGGAGATCGATCAATCTGGACAGATACTCCAGCTGATAGGGAAAGGAAAGCTAAGGTGAGAGGCTTTGTTTGTTTGTTAATGTATTTCTGTTCATGTTGGCTGGATTTTGAAAAGATACAATGCAAAATTATTTAAGGGTACTATTTTTTAAAATTATGATTCCAAAAGGATAATACAGATTTTCCTCTGGAACAAGATTATGAGGAAGGAAAGTGACACCAGTTGCTTGCTGTTTACTTACTATTTCCCAATAAACGGTCTCATTTAAACCTCAGGAAAACTCGGAGACATAGGTATAATGACCTTATTTTATAGACGGAGAAACTGTCCTCTATGAGGTCAACGTTTCTAGGGTCACAAAGCTAGTAAGTGATGAAAAACAATCTCATTTTAGACCTGGTCAAAAAGACCAGATTCCCTGGTCTTTTTACACCATACTATCTTTATGATCATATATCTTTTAAAATATTTTAGAAAAAAAAAAAAATGCTGCAGAGTAACCAAGCAAATTAAATGGTGCCTAGAGGACCTCTCTCAAAATGACCGTATCTCAGGTGTACTACACTTCATGTTACTGTCAAGATAGACAAGAACCACTATCATTAATACATTAAGTTATCCAAAAAATACCAGCTGGCCGCAGTGGCTCATGCCTGTAATCCCAGCACTTTCCGAGGCCAAGGAGGGCGAATCACCTGAAGTCAGGAGTTCGAGACCAGCCTGGTCAACATGGTGAAACCCTGTCTCTACTAAAAATAAAAAAATTAGCTGGGCATGGTGGCATGCACCTATAATCCCAGCTACTTGGGAAGCCGAGGCAGGAGAATCAGTTGAACCCAGTAGGCGGAGGCTGCAGTGAGCCAAGATTGTGCCACTGCACTC